GCAGATGCCACTTGCTCTCACAGCTGCCGTGGCACGAGCGCATTGTTAACTTTGACCCGAGGGTATTGTCAAAATTCTGCTTCCTTATCAAACTGTCTCAAGATGGTCAGTCACGGTCGCGATACCGCGGTGTGCGGACGTGTTCGGTATTTAAAATTGTTCTGTTTTCGAAATTTTATTGTTATGTTTGAAATGATTACGTTATTTGAAAGTTGTTTTTATGGAGTGCAAGAGAGGTTTGTGGAGTTATTGATATTTATCAACTGAATTTGTTTTAATAACATTTCTGTGTTACTTTGTCCATAATTTAAAACATTATTTCCTTATTTTCTATTTTTACCAGTAACTTAATACTAATGCAATAGAAAACTTTAAACCTAAACATTTTTATAACTAATTACAGCAACATTAATATATATAAATATTTTACACAAACTATGTTTACTAGTTTTTAAAGGTGCCTAGATATTAAATAGGACTTGGGACACTTTTCTGTGCATAGAAGCCCCAACGGTTCAAAATTGATTTAAATTCACTCCTTTTACAAAAGCTTTTAAATAAATACTTCATAATCGTAATGCACTCAATTCTATACCATTATATTTTTTTCGCGTGGATTACAGTTATTGTACTCCCCTACGCACGTGCGCGGGAGTTCATTCCATTTTTTTTAATCAGGTGTGTGTCACGTGCCGAATGCAAGCTGTTTTGACAATAATTTTATGTCTAGACTTTGTTGACAAAAGATAAGTCAATGCAATATAAGAAGTCAACATGCCTTTTTAGATAAAATAAAAATTTCGTTTGGCAAAATTGCAAATTGCCCTTTAAAGTCTATTTATATAAACATAAATTTACCTAAAGCTCTATTGAATAATAAACTTAATTTTAAAAATGAAAGTACATTACAATTTAAAGAAGTTGCGCAGAAAATGCTTGAATTTATTTTTCTCGTGTCGCTAGCAAACCCCAGAAAGTAACGTTATCAACGAAAAACAGTGTTAAAAGTGCACTTTCTAGGCCATAGAGGTCTCAGGTGTCTACGGTAACAATCAGAGTCGAGATTCAGCACTATGACTCTTGTATGTCAAAGTCAAACTCATACTTTGAGCTAAGTTGGCTTAGAGCTATGACGATAGAGAAATAAATCGCACTTATTCCTACAAGAGCAGTGTTGGCCTAGTGGCATCAGCGTGCGACTCTTATACCTGAGGTCGTAGGTTCGATCCCCGGCTACCTATGGACTTTCTATGTGCGCATTTAACATTCGCTCGAACGGTGAAGGAAAACATCGTGAGGAAACCGACATGTCTTAGACCCAAAAAGAGGCTGATCACTTACTTGCCTATTAGATTTACAAATGATCATGAAACAGATTCAGAAATCTGAGGCCAAGACCTAAAGAGGTTGTAGCGCCAGCGTTTTTTTTTCCTACAAGTCACAATAATTGTTGTCACGAACTTGAGTCCTACTCTATAAGTGCGAAGTATTTCCTTCGTTCTGAAATTCAATTCATACAATTTCAGTTGGTCAAAAACCATAGGAAAATGACCATGCTGCAACAACGGTATATTTAGGTTCTAATACGAAATCCCGGCCGTTATCAATCGATATATCGACAGATAACGGTTCGCAACGGCATCGTCACCCCACCGTTCGTTATGCGTTAGGGTGCAAGGGTATTAATAACACTTATATGGTTTCAGTGGTTGAGGGACACAGAAATGGTAAATTGTATACAATAAGCCGTTTTATTAACTATTTTTTAGTTATGTCTAATTAATTCTTGTGTAGCTTAAATTGAAGTAGGTAAATTTAATAAAGTATGATATGATATGTACGATACAAATAATATAAGAATTGACTTGACTAATAATGTAAAATTCCTTTAAAGACAAATTTGCGCGCCATTGTGTGTGGCAGAATATGCGAACTTACGATTGTACCACCACACATTTTTGTACCATATTCATGCAATAAATAAATTATTATTATAATTAGGGACTCGTCTCATTTACAAACGGTCTCGGGTTTAAGTCCCGAGGAAAACATCTCGGTTTCGAAGCACTAAGGACACAAAAAAATATTCGTAAATAACTGTAAATCACGCGTTGTCAAATGATTTTTGTCAGTCGGTCGTATATCCTTCCTATAACCTTGTTAACATGTGGTATATGTTCGGTCTGGTTTCCGCCGCAACGGTTTTTTGCTAAAAATAGATCGATTTTTGTCCCCTGAAACACCTCCTTCGAGATTTGTTAATCTGTGAAATTGTTTTTGGTTTTGAATACTTAATCCTTACTGAGTTGAAATCTTATATCCAATTTCTCGCAATACTTTGTAAATCAGTTAAATTATCGAAAAATTATTATTGACAGGCTTTAAGGGTACCTAAGGGTAATTCATAATCCAGGCTGTAAGTCCAGACTTGGATACTTATGTATAACTGAAAAGTGTATATTTTAATGTCCATAGAACATACATTTATAAAGGAATAAGTAGATTTGACGGTAATCATAGGTAAGTATTAGAGGCGAATTAAAGTAAATTTTGACACGGGACTCATCTTCGACTCTAAATCTTACTCTAAATCTTACTCTAACATGTCATCGTAGGCCTCTTGGGCAGATATTACTAATTTATTTAGTAAAAATTGTTATTTAAAGTATGGCTGTGGCACGATTGTAACGATATTTTATATTATCTGTCTATTATTGTCCATAGACCTAATATCTTAATCATACGGCGCTGTAAACCGTGGTGGGGATTTTACCATAGAATTAAAAAAATGTATTTACCTTTATTATAAAAATTAAAAGGCAAACGCGAACTTCAAGCAAAGTGAAGTTTTGTCTTGCCTGAATAACCTTAGCAACAATAGACAATTTTATTTGTGATCTGGTATAAAACGAGCTCCAAAGTATATATAAATTGAAATACTATATAACGCTTTTACTTCATCTTGTCAAACCAGAAATTAAAAAAGAGCTTTGTCGTTATTCCGTTACGACCCTTGCAGTGATAAGAATGTGCAGTTATTGTGTACGAGGGGTGCAAAGGGGGCAACAAATTCTCCAGACGTTACTCGTTTAAAAATTAACGTATACGTAGCCAAGACTCCGCTACTACACAAAAAATCTTATCATTAAATAGTCATGTTTTTGACAAGTATTTTTCAACTAATTTTCTTGTGTCATTTGTAGGATTGTAAGTTTATCTGTTACTTCGTTTCCGGATGGATACCAACCTAGTAATTAGTACAGAAATATAACGCAACTTCGTCAAAATGCTGACTATTTGTCAGTGTCAATAGATTTTTTTAATCTTAGGAAAGTCAATGGCTGTCAAAAAATGTAAGATTATTATTAAAGTTAATGCATGGTATGTCTGGTAGACCGGAGATGATCAGTTAGCAGGAAAAATTAATTTTTTTAACTCGAAGGATAATCATTATTTTCATTAACCAGTTGGAAGTCGTCGCATACTGCACATTAAATACTATTATAATTGCAAACATTCGTATGTTGTTATTTTTATGTCTTTAAGTGTGCTTTTCAATTCTAAATTGGATATGCAATTTTTTTTACTGTTAAGACTACATAATTAAAAGTATGGTTAATAATAATTTGTGAAACAAAATCTTTCTATTTTTTTTGTAACCAAACTCCTAATAATGACACTATAAAGAGAATTGGTTTATTCAATTTATCGGAAATATCCTACATCCGTTAAAAATTAACGGTTAAATCTGTTTTATTCATGATTTTCGGCGCCAAACCCCGTTTTTAATGTGCTGTATATTGATTACCTTGATTTCTTGAAGGGATGCATCTTCCTATACAACATGCTGCATACATTAATATTAAACTAGTTTGTCATGGGCCGATTTATTATAATTATCTAGGAAATTGCTTTTGTAAACCTTTTCTAACAAATTTAAATCTTTATTGAATAATATTTAAAACAATAATTGATCGATCTCGTAAATCTTTCTAAAATGAGATTATTACTGTTAAAGCAGCGAAATAAGAATTTTATTTTAAAACTTCCTAAAATTTGCATGTGCGATTATCCGATTTCACGCCATTTGAATGTCATTGTCAAAGCCATATGTTCGTCAAAGCGCGCGAAATTACCACCTGATGACTACTTTAAAGTTGATAATTTCCTAACAATAACTTAATTAATCGTCCATAAATATCATGTTTTTAGCGTTAAATAAACTTAAAAAGTTCAAAAAATAAATAAGGCTCTTTTAAAGTATATAAGACGTGGTTTTTAAGGCCGAAATTGTTAAATCTCATAACCTTTGGAGTCGTGTGAAATATCGTATCGAACCAGTTTTGCTGCTGATCGATATTTTGTGTTAAAAAAGTTATTGTTATGTATTGTTGAGGAAGACATCGTGAGAGTTTATAATAAGGGGTGTGATATCAACCCTTTGCACTAAAAAAACTCGGGTGAGAATCTTTCTAATAATAGAATTAGCGATTTCTATTTACCGAGTAAAGAATACCTATTTTTTCGTAGCCGTAATGCAAACTTTCTGCAACTATTGTTTCTTTTTATTTGAATTCAATAATTCTTTATGAGTACTTAAATATTTAGGAATTTAAAAAAATATATACTTAGTACTTAATTCTTAAAAAGTTACATCATTGTAGACACTAAAAACTTTTTTTTTAAATTTAAATATATTTAGTATTGAAGTGATGAATCTTACTTTATCACTACATAATGTTGTATAGGTACTTTGTTTATATTTATTAAAATTGGTTTTTCTAGTTATTTTTAAACTTATAATTCTAAGTATTCATTATTAAGGCTAAGATGTTTCTGCTTTCCTGTTTTATTTATTACAAGTTCATCAAAGCAGTTTCATCATCTTCTCTTTTCATAAAGTGTAGAAACAAAACTAAAAATATTTAATGATATTATAAACCATTATTTTGTTTATGTCTCTGAAATACTGCATAGGTATCAGATGTAAATAATAATAGATGGTCTCAATTTTTAAAATATTTCTCATTTGTTTCAGACTAATAACTGAAAACTTCAGAATAAACTCTGGTAACAATGCCACAAAACGGAAGCAGGAAGAAGCACTCACATACAATTATAAAGTCAAAATTAAACCACACTCAATAGATTTCACCCCACACTCTCCTAATACACCAAGCAAGGTTCTAGGAGAAATACAAAAGGCCTTAACACCTCAAAGAAAAGTATTAGGTGAAATACAAAACTCTCCCAGCTACAAACTAGACTCCAGCCCTTTAACTTTTAAGTCACAAAACTCCCCTAGTCTACATGGAATATCCAACATTCCAAACTCCCCTGTGATACCAAAAACATACTCACCAAGGATCCCAAACTCTCCTGGAATCTCTAAAATTCATAGCTCACCTAGAATCTCTAGAGTCTCAAACTCCCCTGGTCTTTCGAGGATAAACCAATCTCCTGGTATGTCAAGGATTAAAAATTCGCCAACAACACCTTTGACCACTCAAAAGGTTCCACAATTGTACATTAAAAATTCACCAGCTATGGAAAGACTGAAATCTCCTTCGGGAGGCTTAAGGGAGAGAAAATGGAGTAACCTGTCTAGGATATTTGAAGAAAGAACAATGTTTAAAGCCAATAAGGAGAATGAAAATCTTAATATTGAAGAGGAAACTCAAGATTGTACATTTGGCATAGAAAAAAGTGATAGGGCCATGGCTAAGGTAATGTTCTTAGCATTATTTCACTTTAATAATTATATAAGATTACTAGCTGACCCGGCAAACATTGTTTTGCCATGTATATATTTGTAGGAAACATTTTTTTAGTTCAATAAAAATAAATATCTACTATAATAAAAAATAGGGGTTGATTGTAGAGGGGTGAAAATTAAGGGTTGTATGTATTTTTGTATGCTGTATAATACAAAAATAAAAACAAAAGATTTTGTCTAAAAAATAAAAAAATAATTTTTGGGGTGGACACCTTATGACTTAGGGGTTTGAAAGATATTAGCCGATTCTCAGACTTACTGAATATACATAAAAATTTCATAAGAATCGGTTGAGCCGTTGCGGAAGAGTATGGGAACGAACATTGTGACATGAGAATTTTATATATTAGATGTATGATAATTTTCAGTACATTCATTACAAACATGTGATCTGCTGGTGACAGCAACTAAAAGCTGAGTTGAGGACATTTTTGTTTATAAATTTATACATAATTTAAACAAACAATTTATTTTTCTCTCTCTGTAATTCAGCTTCCTTAAATTAATTACCAAATTTTAGGAGTGTGTTTTTGTTAATAAAAATACAAATTATATTTCGGTTTACTTGTTTCTAATAGTCCATTTTGTACAATTACAGTTCGACTTCTCTGACATTAAGAAAGAGAAAGAAATGGACGCAGATATCTTGGTACCAGAAACGACCACCTCTCTGGAACCAGATATGGAATCATTACAAGATTTAGAAGAGGAATTCGACTCTAACAACTTTGATGAATGCACCAAGTATGAAATTATATCAACCGACAGTCCGGATATTATTTCAAGTGGTCGTACGAGTTCCAGAAAGGTCAACCAAAGGAATTTCGCCTTTGGGGCACCATTGTCTGAAAACGAAACATCCACTTCCTTTAACCGACCGAGCTCTTCCAGAGTTCTCAATTTCGAGAAGAGGATAGAAAGGTCGAAATCCAACCGTACATTGAACTTCGACGAGAGCCGGTCTAGTTTTGATAAAATGGAATTTGATCCGGAACAAAGTTTTGACTTCAACTCAAAGACTAAAACTAAACTCAGTTTTGATGATAGCAACTTTGAAGAGAGCTTCGAATTCACCTCACCAATGACTAAAGATACCACACCGAGAAAGACTGTGTCAGTTAAAAAATCTCTGAAGTTCACTGAAAGCCCGAAATTTGAGAAACAGAGTAGCACATCCAAGTCTCCCTGTTCGAGTATATCGAAGCGGTTGACATCGGAATCTATGGAGAGCGGCTTCATTTCTGAATTTGAAGAACCATTTTTGGACATGGAAGAGATCTCCAGCTCGCCCAAAATTTCCAACTTCAGTGACTTGTTATCTGGTCAGATTAAGGAGAGCTTCACTGAGAAGCTTCGGCCTTGTGTGCATAGGAGTTTGAGTTTCAATCCCGTTTCAAAGAGGTTGAGAGATGAACCGACTAGTTCGAATAAGAGGTTAAAGTCTGAAACTTCTCTGGCTCCACAAAGGCCAGTTTTACAACGAGCTCTCTCAGAGAATAATGCATCTATTATGTCTGCGTTAGCGAGATGTAAGTAAACATATCTTTGTGTTTATGAGTTTAGGTTTGAATCTTGGTTGAAGCAAAATAGTCTCAAAACTTAAAATCATCTTAAAACTAAGTTTATTTCTTAGAAACATTTTATTCATGTGTAACAAGGGTCTTGTTTCAAAACAATAATCCTTTAATAACTATCAAACATATATGTGCCCTATGCCCCACTGTGGAATTAACTCTAGACATAAGCACATAAAAATATTTAACCCAAAAATATTTTAATATCACAAAAAATAAATTTAATGGGCAATTAATAATCTAGTTAAAAACCAAAGTAGTATTATGTACTTTCGATTATGTTTTCCTAACATAAACTTCTTAATTGCAGCATGTGTTGAACCAGACCTGATTGGTGACTTCAGTTCTCCCTTTGCACTTCCACTCACAGCCGGAGACCACTCGGACCTCAAATCGATATCCGGTGATACACTTGCCGGTTTAATTCGGGGAGATTATTCTGATAGCATTCACGACTTTCAGGTAAATATCATTATAATAATTGTATCAATTTAATAAAAACTTAAAAAGGTTTATTTTATGTCTCATTACTCCAAATCATCTCAAAATAACCTTGTTTAAGAAAAAAAAAAATAATTTAAAAATTATGTAAAAAATTGTATAGTTATTAATTTGCTCAGTAATAATTAATTAACCTTTATAGGTGCTTTTAATATACGCAATAATTGTATATTTAAAGTTATGTTTAACGTTGAATTAAAACTTTATTGATAATTATTAAGTCAATTATAATTACAATTAGAGCAGTAGCACGCTAAACGTGCGATTCTCATCCCTGAGGTCATAGGTTCGATCCTCGCCTGTGCACCAATGGACTTTCTTTCTATGTGCGCGCGCATTCAACATGCATTAGACCCAAAAAGTCGACATGTGTCAGGCACAGGAGGCTAATCACCTACTTGCCTGTTAGATTGACAAATCATGAAACAAATACAGACATCTGAGGCCCAGACCTAAAAAGGTTGTAGTGCCACTGATTTTTTTTTATAATAATAATTAATAACTATGTTGAATTATTCCAGGTGATAGACTGCCGTTACCCATACGAGTTCGAAGGTGGCCATATCCTGGGCGCAGTGAATCTGTCCACAGCAGAACAAGTATTGGAACTGATGAATGCACCCCTGAACAGGGACAACCAGAAGCGGAGTATATTGGTGTTCCACTGCGAATTCTCTCTTGAGAGGGGACCGAAGTTGTAAGTATTAGTTTACAAATTGATGAAAAAAACATTGTCTTTTTTTGTGTTAACCCCATTCCCCACGTGGGGCAAACTCTTGTTCAGGCACATTTTTTATTTTTTTATCAATGTAAATTTTTCATATGCCTTAATCATTAAATCTAGTCTTAATGATTACATTAATCATTAAATTTGTCTCAAATATTCCAAATTCGAATGAATTCCAATTAAAATTCAAAGAAAAAGTATAATACAGTAAACCTATAACGTATAACACGGTACTCTTATATCGCATATTCATATTACGCGATTTCAGTCTCTCGTATAACACGGGTATTCTCCTTTATAACGCGGGGATATCACATGTTATATTTCTGTACATAAAGATTTGTACGCACTTGTTCGCTCATAACCCTATTTTCATGATTCGATTTAAATACTCTTCAACGGGAAAAGTTAATAGAATCATACAAGCGCGTTATGCGAGAAAACTCCTTCAACGCGTTTCTTGTAACGCGAACTAATCTACCGTTATATAGGAGGGATTACTGTATACCTGAAATATATATAAGGTAGTGATACAATATATTTATCTATATAACAATATATCTTATTTCACAGATCGCGTTTCCTCCGTTCCTCGGATCGAGCAAAGAACCAAGAAAACTATCCCAACCTCCATTATCCAGAGATCTATCTCTTACACGCCGGGTACAGATCGTTCTTCAAGAATTATCCGGAACTCTGCTCGCCAAACGGATACACCGCCATGCTGGATCCGAAACACCGCCACTTACTTCGGAAACACCGGTCTTTGCAGCCGTCCGGAAGACGCAATCGGCTGTTACTGTAGAGACTGAGAGACCGAGAAAAGACCGATTTTAAATTGGACCAGTATTGTAAAATGCAATGAAAGACCAAAAAAAATTGGAACCATGTATAGCAAAAGATATTATACCAATTGTATATAGCGGTTTAAAAACCAGTTTAAGGCCATTTCGAAAAGACCGTGTAAATATAAAAGGCCAGAATTCTATTAGGGTAAGAGAGATAAGGTAATTTTTTATCCTAGCATTTAAATGTAAATGGATTCTTTAGACTTCGTACATTAATTTCGGTCTTTGGACTAAATTAATTCCAGTCTAAGTTAAATGAGACTTAATTTAGTTTAACGATGCCATATTATTATAGGAATATCCCACCTTTAGTTTTAAGGAATAATGCAATATATTTTAAGGAATACTTAAGAATCATGACAATTTCGTAGCTTTTACTTAGATTTTGATACAAATGTGAGGCCCGCTATACATAGATTTTTAAGATTACAAATTTCAAAAAAATATGTGTGACATGTGGCCATAATAATTCGCCATATTAAAACCAAAAATAATGCTAATACAGTCTCAAATTGTGTCAATATTTGAGCAGATGATTTTGGAGATTGTTCGATTTCCAAGAAAATAATTTCTTCATACAGTTTAATATTAGTTTTATATTTGATTGAGGAATACTCAGTTGCGGGCCTCTGATCAGACATAAATGTCTGCCCGAGAGGATTGCCGATTCGGCGACGTGGCAATAATATACGCTTACAAAATATATTTATGTTATTTGCATTGAAGACATGATTAAATTATTTCTTTTTAACACAATTTCATAATTTAATTTAAAATTTCATCTCCAAAAACTTAAAATTTCAAGGCTTTCTCAAATAACATTTCCAAAGGATTTTTCAAATACATTATTAACCTTAAAGCCGTACTCAGAGTGTTACTTTCAACTAACGAAATATAAACCGATAACATAATTAAAGACAAATATAAAAACAAATTACTTTTAAGAAAAGATTTTGTTTTTTAGAATTTTTAGTAAACAGTCGAACAATGAAACATTTCATGAAATAATTATCTCTTAATGAATGATTCTGAGTATAAATCTATAAAACTGTCAACAATATCCCATACATACACTTACCTCCTGTTTAGAAGTCGGTTAAATTAGGGTGATTTATTTTGATTGAACATTTGGAATCTTTAGTCCACATTTTAGAAAAAAATGTCGTAGTTATCTAATATCGATTCAGGACACGATTCAACAAAATCAATATTTATCTTAAATAATATAATCATGTCTTCAGACAAATAACAATGTTCCGTTTCCTCGTTAATTACGCTTATTATGTTTATATCTGTTAAGAATTATTCTAGCTAGTGTTAGTTTGGGTTACTTGCAAATAATTTGAGACATAATCCAAAAACATTAACTTTGAGTTCAAAATTATTATTTGTATAAATTTTCGTTAACGCACTCTACAAAGAAATGCGTTTGGACCTTTACAATGGACGAAAGAAGATAAAACAGTTTATTATTTGGAAACAGAATCGGAAAATCTGTTCTGAAACCATAGTTTTCTATATAAATTAAAGGAAATTCTATGAAAAAGTCTCAAATGATTTGCAAGCAATTGTAGTTGAAATTATGAATTAAGAGCTATAGTCGTCGGAATGTTTTGATTGTAAATATCGTTTTAATTAATCGGTCTTATGGTGAAAATATCTTAGAACATATATAATGATAAATGTAAATACCTAATAGTGTCGCAAGCGCATATGATCCAGTCTTAAACTGTTCTTTTCTCTACAGCTATATCTTCGCTGGTTTCAGATTAAACTTTCGGAACAGATATGCTTAACGCACAATGACAGTGTTTTTTCAATAAGATCGATTTTCGTTCGTGTCATTTCTCTCCCAAAGTATCAAAATTTTAAATTAAGTAATATATTATTTTTAGTTATTTTATTGAATAGATTTTAACTGTGTACAGATTTCAAATAAATTATGGAAAAATATGAATATTTTATTTATTTTTCTCTTTATCAATATCGTCAAATATACCAAAACAGTTATTCAATAAAGGTCTATTACTTGACTTACTGATGCTATGAAAACGCTCAAATTTCGCTGTCAGCGTCTAAATTGCTCCTGGTGGTAAAGGAAACTAAAATGTTTCCTACAAGCATTTATTGCAAACGCATTGCAGTAAGCTACTGAATGTTTCACGAAAATTATCAGGTGAAACAGGCTTAAATATGTAGCCCTACGAACCATTGGATAATTACAAAACTCACCACGCAGAGTGCGTTGGCTTTTTAAGAATTGATAGACCATTTTCTTGAAATTATATATTTTTTGTCATAGAGCGTAGAGGACTAGAGATTGTTTCCTTAAATGAAACGTGCAATATCTGCCATAATATTAAAATAAAAGTGCAATATCTTGATTTCCAAAGGAGTCTTATAGAAAAACACATAGACAGTTCCATAATATATTTACACTGAGCACAGTACAAATAACTTTGTAATACAATAAATAAAACATACTTAATGACTAGAATACTTTTGTAAGAAAAATGCGAACAATTACACAAGACGTCGAAACAAAATACATTTATTTAAAGGACAAAACAAAACACTCTGTTGGAAGTGAATGAAAAATTTCGAATTAAATTTATTTTTTGCCTCGGAATAAGTCCTTTGCTGTTTTTTGTCATGACAATAGTATACGAGAATTTGGTACTATGATAGTGTACGCGCCTGATATTATACATTGAGCAATCCTATACCGCCGATGCTGTGAAGACAATTTAACTGAATTTTCGATTTCTTGATTAAAGTAGAGATCTCAGAATGTCTCTCTTTATTTGAGTTTATTTACATAAAATGAGAAGAATAGTAATTGACAAATAAGTGTAAAGTAATATTTAAAAAAAATCCTCAGAGTTTCTTCAGCTTTTTAAAGTTAATTTGTCTCTTTAACTTCCTCAATTTTCGTTTCCTGACTTTCTTCCGGAGTTTCACTTAACACCTTTTCTTCGAGTGATGACTTTGACAATTGACGAAGAATTTTTTCAAAAATCTTCGGCGCACTCTTCGTGTTCGGCAACGAAATGTCGGTTTGTGTCGGCACAGACTCCCATGTCTTCTCCTCTTTTACTTCTAGAGGTAGCACTGTCTCTTTCAGATTTAACGACATTGATTTTTTCTTTAAATCCTTTTCGGGATCTATGATAGGTTCGGGAAAAACTTTTTGACATTCTTTGGATTGCCTTTCTATCGCTTTTGTGAGGACATTCCCTAAAATGTGTGTACATTTAATGATATTTTGCGTTTCACGTGGGGTAAGGTGTAATCCTTCGTTTCGAATTATGTAATTTATGTTGGTTATGTCGTCAGGTGAGCGTTTTAAGCCTTCGTTTGAGAGATCTGAAAAGTAATCACAAAAACTTATGATATGTTAAGAAGAAGCAGTGTTGGCCTAGTGGCTTCAGCGTGCGACTCAACCCTGGGGTCGTACGTTCGATCCCCGGCTGTACATCAATGGGCTTTCTGTCTTTGTGCGCATTTAACTTTCGCTCGAACAGTGAAGGAAAACATCGTGAGGAAATCGCATCGAATCCAAAAAGTCGACGGCGCGTTTTAGGCACAGGAGGATCACCTACTTGCCTATTAGATTGACAAATCATGAAACAGATACAGAAATCTGAGGCCCAGACCTAAAAACATTGTAGTGCTATTGGAATATAATATGATCATCATGAGTATGACACATGTACTCCCAAAAAAGATTTTAATTATAGACGACAAATTTACATCTAAGCTATTTTTGGTATGTTGTTCACTTGACATTGATAAATGCATTGCTATATTTATTTGCCAAGGCGTCGCACTATTAATTAAGCTACATGATTTAAATAACAGTTGACCTGTAAATACTGTATCATGAGTGTTTCTCAGTTTCATAAATATCTAATATAACCTTTTTAAAGACAAAATCCTGCTTCCATAGTACAAATCAAGTAAACTAGAACTATTTAAATCACCTTGGAGGGGGGTAACTAGTCATTTATATTTTATAAAAAGAAGCGGGGATTTCTTTAGCTAGATTTGCTATATCGATTTATAAAAAAATTATTTTATTTATTGTTCAGTATTGTCATTTAATTAAAAGTTGTGTTTGGATACAACACACAATGTAACTATGAAATATTTGGAGGCATTTTGACAATAATAGATACATACTTTATATTAGTGTCAACTGTGATCTCCAAATCAATACTAGTGACCAAAAATGTTACTTACCAAAATCAGTAAGTTCAAAGTCCTCAGTACGGTACGGTGTAGGACATTGGTCATAATATCGGCTTATAGGAACCCTGGCTAAAGAATTATTATAATTAGCCCAAAAATTGCTCCATTCTCCAGTTGGCTTTGGTTCAGATTCTTGCCAAGTACTTACGCAGCAGCTGTAAAATTATAAGCATAGATTGAAATATCATTTGCATTTAAGATATTAAAGAATCAGTTTGATTGCCCCAGCCATTTAACAAAATTTCGTGTACTCTCCAGATCCAGGCATCCCATCATCCCATTTGTTCCTCTCAGAAGAACACGTTTTGGCCAAAACTCACCGATATCCAGATTGAGCATTCTAATAAACGAGCTAGGTCTGGATATTGCTCTCCTCACACTTTGCAATCAATTATCGTTTAGGTTTTATAATTTAATTGTTTTGTTTATTTTTTTGATTAGTGTATGTTATTTTTGCTTGTCATTTTTTTATTAGTGTATGTTATGTTTGCGTGCTGAGCGTGGGCAAGCAAGTAAATAAATAAATAGCATAATTAATTGATAATCTAATTTATCTATCAAAGTTTAATTTATTGATTAATGAATGTGTTAGTAAGACTAGACTCCCATTGACGAATAACAAGAGTTTGATCCTGTGAGATCAGATTATGGGTGAAAAATACTGTCAGATAAGTCCATATCGCCTATAATACTCACTTTCAAAATTCTAATCTAGGTTAAATTAATTGATACAAAATCTTGTCTTGAGCGATGTGAAAGATGAGGCAAACAGAAATAACCTTTCACAACCTTTATGACAGGATTTGTCTGACTAAAGCTCCTGAATTAACAGCTTAAGAAGTAATAAAAGTAAAAAAATTGCCATTTTCCCGCCTCACCTGTCCAGCAGATCCTGACTTCTTGAGGACATTAACGTATCCGGTGGAAACCCATGCACGCTGTCAGTTGATGACGGAGCAGAGCCAGGTGATGCTGATGAGCATTCCATTTCTGTGCTCATTGTATGTCTATAAAATTTACTTTGTAATGATAAAGTATTATCATGTTAAGCTCGCAATTTTTTCGGTTTACTAATAATAATTAGGAAGGGTCACAAGGAATATAATGGTATTCCAGAGATGGAAGAATGGAGAAGATCAGCTCGAATGGAAATAATAATGGGAGTCCTATGTCGGAAGACAAGAAAAATACAGTTAAAATGTATGTTATCGCTTAGGTGAAAATTATGTAAATGTATGTAATTGGTTAGTGGATAAAGGCTTTTATTATTATTATTATTGTAAGGTCAACACAACTGTATATCTCGAACCGAAACAATTTTTGCTTGGTTGAAATCGGATTCATCCTGGAATTGGAATGCAAGTGCCTCTATCTATATATCTAAGTTATTATCTATTATACTTCTGGTCGGGGGGGGGGGGCGGGGGGGGGGGGGGGGGGGGGGGGGGGGGGGGGGGGGGGGGGGGGGGGGGGGGGGGGGGGGGGGGGGGGGGGGGGGGGGGGGGGGGGGGGGGGGGGGGGGGGGGGGGGGGGGGGGGGGGGGGGGGGGGGGGGGGGGGGGGGGGGGGGGGGGGGGGGGGGGGGGGGGGGGGGGGGGGGGGGGGGGGGGGGGGGGGGGGGGGGGGGGGGGGGGGGGGGGGGGGGGGGGGGGGGGGGGGGGGGGGGGGGGGGGGGGGGGGGGGGGGGGGGGGGGGGGGGGGGGGGGGGGGGGGGGGGGGGGGGGGGGGGGGGGGGGGGGGGGGGGGGGGGGCGCGGGGGGGGGGGGGGGGGGGGGGGGGGGGGGGGGGGGGGGGGGGGGGGGGGGGGGGGGGGGGGGGGGGGGGGGGGGGGGGGGGGGGGGGGGGGGGGGGGGGGGGGGGGGGGGGGGGGGGGGGGGGGGGGGGGGGGGGGGGGGGGGGGGGGGGGGGGGGGGGGGGGGGGGGGGGGGGGGGGGGGGGGGGGGGGGGGGGGGGGGGGGGGGGGGGGGGGGGGGGGGGGGGGGGGGGGGGGGGGGGGGGGGCCCGGCGGGGGGGGGCCCCCCGCGGGGGGGGGCCCCCGCCGGGGGGGGGGGGGGGGGGGGGGGGGGGGGGGGGGGGGGGGGGGGGGGGGGGGGGGGGGGGGGGGGGGGGGGGGGGGGGGGGGGGGGGGGGGGGGGGGGGGGGGGGGGGGGGGGGGGGGGGGGGGGGGGGGGGGGGGGGGGGGGGGGGGGGGGGGGGGGGGGGGGGGGGGGGGGGGGGGGGGGGGGGGGGGGGGGGGGGGGGGGGGGGGGGGGGCCCGGCGGGGGGGGGGGGGGGGGGGGGGGGGGGGGGGGGGGGGGGGGGGGGGGGCGGGGGGGGGGGGGGGGGGGGGGGGGGGGGGGGGGGGGGGGGGGGGGGGGGGGGGGGGGGGGGGGGGGGGGGGGGGGGGGGGGGGGGGGGGGGGGGGGGGGGGGGGGGGGGGGGGGGGGGGGGGGGGGGGGGGGGGGGGGGGGGGGGGGGGGGCCGGCCGCGGCGCGGGGGGGGGGGGGGGGGGGGGGGGGGGGGGGGGGGGGGGGGGGGGGGGGCGCCCGCCCGGGGGGGGGGGGGGGGGGCGGGGGGGGGCCCGGGCCCGGGGGGGGGGGGGGGGGGGGGGGGGGGGGGCGGGGGGGAGGGGGGGGGGGGGGGGGGGGGGCGGGGGGGGGGGGGGGGGGGGGGGGGGGGGGTAGCTTCAGCGAGTGACTCTCATACCTGAGGTCGTAGGCTCGATCCTCGGCTGTGCACCAACGGATTTTATTTCTATGTATTCATTTAACATTCGCTCGAACGGTGAAGGAAAGCATAGTGAGGAAACCGGCTTGCCTAAGCGAGCCATAGACGGACCGCATATTGCAGCCGATACCGACTGCTCTAAGCGGTCGCCGCACGGCGATCTCCAGTTTCAGACCGCTCGAGCAGTTCCTGAGCAAACCGCATACTTATTACGGTCAAACAGCAACATGCGGTCCGTCTATGGCCCGCTTTAGACCCAAAAAGTCAATGGCGTGTGTCCGGTACAGAAGGCTGATCACCTACTTGCCTATTAGATTAACGAATGATCATGAAATAGATACAGAAATCTGAGGCCCAGACCTAATAAGGTTGTAGCGCCACTAATTTTTTTTAATATTCCTGACCACCGTGGCCTAACCAATCTAGTGAACCTGATTAAATACGCACCTGTAAGCACCAAAACTGGATTTGCTGTCCCGACTGAACGAACTCTCCTTGCTCCGAGATTCAAGTGACTTGTTGTGTTTGTCTGTCAGCACACTCTGAATCAGCCGCCTGTGCACCTTCTTAGGTGTTGATGTTGTGAATTTTTTTACGCCATATTTTGAATTGGTATCTTCGAAATCTGACACCTTAGAGGAAGAAAACGTTTTTAAATTTCATTACATTTTCGATGGTTTCCGAATTAAGATTTTTGATATCTTTTTATTTAGTTAATAATAAAATGATTTTTGGTTTTATATTGTCTAAGCTGCGTGAATGAAAAGTAGCTACTATCAAAGATACATTTAATATACTTATAATGTAAATACATATTACTTATATATACGTATAACTATCGTTTATTAAAACCTAAACATAACAATGAAATATACAGTATTTACACTTTTCTTAACCTATATAGTAATAATAAAGTTTGGTCCCTGTCGCAGTGTATCTTTAACGCCGCTGAGCGAGGAAAGCACCAGCTCTGGGGTCACCAGTTCTATCTGCCAGGCGCAAACTTAAATCTTTAATTAGCGGTTGCACTTTAAATGCCCAAGAATGTCTACTCCAAAGGGAACAAAATCGAAGTTGGAGAAAAGACTCTTCTTGCGTCGTTTATTATATACGTATTAATAATATATGCACTAGTCAGAAATTACTATAAGAAATTAAGTATTATGAAACATTTGAGTCTAATAATAAAACCAATAAGTATGTGTTAACAATTTGTTTTTACGCAATACTTTTCTCTCATATAATTTATTTTTAAAAGAAAACGTAATTTTTATACAATTAATACAATATAAGTTTTAACTTTCGTAGCATTTGTGGAGAAATATTGACGAAAATTTTATTAGTAATATAGTAATAAATTAATTAAAACGGCAAATTAGATTTATGAATGTCTGCGATAAGATACAGGACATTTATAGCTTTCACCTTTTCAATCATGAATATTAAACGATATATAAAATACGAATAAAAATTGTTCTAAAGTTGATTATCTTTTTCGAAAGTATATTAAAATTCATCAGTGTTAAGACAATTAAGGAAATTAAAAAAAATGAAATGAGAATGAAATTATTTCTCATTTCTTTTCATTCACTGTGAGGTGATCGGTGCCTGACGCAAGCAGCTGATTTATTGATCTCAGATATGCCATTATCCTTACGATCTCTTCTTAACTATAAAACAATTAACTTACACCTGTATTAAATAAATTATAAATACCTGAGATAAATCCAAAGACATATCATCGTCCAACGATGCGTCACGACTCTTCGTTTGAATTCTCTTTGGCGAATCGATTTTCTTTCTCAACGAATCGGCTGACTGTCGCCGCAAACCACCAGGAAGAGATTGAGCCCTGTCACTTCTAAAAAAGGCAATATTAACACTGACTAAAGACTTTTGTAAAGACTTTAATACAACTATATTACTTTTTTTAGAGAACAGAGGCAAACAGGCAGAAGGGTCGTCAGATGTTAAGTGATAACGTCGCCCATGGAGACTCTCAATGCCAGAGGGCTTGCAAGCGCTTTGCCGGCCTTATAAAGGCGCTTTTCGGGTATCTCCCTCGCCCTATCGTGTTACCCAAAATATCCTAATATACACCTCCGATACCTATCACGATCGGGGTGGACGTATTATATCCATTATATATCTTATCCCACCTCAGTCTTTCTAATCACTATTTTTATTGGTCTTATTTACTTTAGATTACTTATATCACTTTCTTCCTCCACCTCTTGCGTTGTAAGCTTTATATTATCATTAATAGTATTTAAAAAATAAATCTAGACAGACGGCGTGGATTAGAAACCGAAACAAACATGGTGGAATACCATTGATGCGAGATTTAAAATTTCAGTATACCAGGGAAAATAAAATGTCACCCATTGATGTTTGTATTCCCTTATATCCGAAAAAACCACACAGGATGGTCGCGGTGTATCAGTATCGTATCGCGATACAGTATCGTGAAGTAACGTCCTCCCACATACGCATCGGAACGAGGATCAGACTATGGACGGCACCACGCTACGATCATTTGCGTCAATACATCATATACCGCCGAAGCCACGAACGGAGATAGCACCGAAATGCTACAAATGTGGACCGGTCCGTGTCGGTTTCCACACAAAGGAACACAACATCAATGGGGCATCGAGTGAAATTTGATTATCCGCTGGTATGCTGAAATTTAAATCTCGCATCAATTATTCCACCATGTTTTTTCGTTCTAAACACTTCTAAGATCCTCACCAGCGCCGTCTACGTCTGGATTTATTTTTAAAAACTGTTTTTTATTATTTATAAGGGGGGGGTGGGCCCGGGAGGGTGGGGGGGGTTGCTCGCTGCTGACCGTACGACAAAATATCGGAAAGTGAAGGTCTATTAAAAAAACTGTTATATATAGTTTTAAATACACTAAAAATACGAATGGACAAAATGAGCGTCCTGTCGCAACGACGCACGTAGACGCGCTTTTCTTGTAGGATCCTGTCGAATTGGACAAGGGGGAAGTTCGGAAATACTTCAGTAGGCTGCTGGTTCCACATAGCGGTGGTTCGCGGCAAAACTGCTTTAAGAAACGCTCAGATGTGGAAGAGGGATGCCGTGGTGATACGGGTGGAATTTCGTATTCTGACTTCGTCCGATGAAGAAACTCAGCTGCATGTGATAATCCGAACAACTCCTCTGAACACACTCCGAGGTAAACGCGGTAGAAGATGCAGAGATCCACATCTCTACGAAACGCCAAGGGACTGCTACTTAAACTGTAAATGTTTCCTCCCGGCGAGACTTGAGATCTAATAAGATGATGAAGATGCCAAGATTTTTTTTTATTTCATACTAACTGTATGTTAATTATTTCTTTTTTTATAAAGAATAATATAAAAACTATAGTTGCAATATTTGAGCACATACTCGTATCTGCTGCATTGTTTTTTATTACACTATGCGCCATTATTTTAGTGTAGTAGTTATTTATTCTAGTTACCTGGTCTTCCACATATAATTATCAAACCAATGTATACAAAATATTGTATAAACTATTTTAAAAGATTAAGTACTTGCCCTTTCTTCTACATTTGAAACTACATCATTTTTAAATTTTTAACTTTCAAAAGTACCTTTTTAATAGGCCTAATTGAAATAAAAGATTTGACATTTGACTTTTACTTTTTAGTTAATTGAAACATTCCATGACTTAAAGGTAGTGCGTTTACGTAACTTATTAAAACATTAAGTGGCATTTCTTGAAATTCTAAATACGTTTCCATTTCGCCTGATTCAATCACATTTATAAGTGTTGAAACAGTTTTATATTCAGAAATCTGTAAAATTTAAAAAAACTTAATGTTGTTTTCAGTTAAGATTTTACTTACTTTTTTAAAATCTGCTTTCCCGTAACGACAAAGTCAAACTTTTGAGTTTTCTTCGGTGTTGAGTTTGTTGAATGCACTGTTTTGTCGACACTACTCCGACGAGACAGGCTGGCCGAGTTACGCCGCGAAGACGGTCGACTCTTCTCTTCCTCTTCTTTATTCATTCTTAATCTATAAGAACAAATTTATTAACAACATCCTATTTCGTTACATGGCATATATGAGTTTTGATTGCTGACGTAATAACTGTTTTTGGGGGGTAACCGCTTGCTCTGAAGAGAATCCCCTCGTGTGTGCTGCGATATTTCAAGCTACTCGATTGTGACTTGTGAGGAAGTTGCATGGATCTGGTTAGTGCTGCATCTTCTTAAGTTCTCATGTCATTTTCACAGGTATGGTAAGGTATGGTACAGGTCCTTTTTAAGTATTTTATTGATTTCATTTTAACATGTGTGATGTTGGAGAGCAAAAATAAAATAAAGATTTCATAAACAGACGTAGAAGCCCAATGACAAATTTTACTGTTATCAAATCAAATGATACAAAAATTTATGGTACTCAGAAATATTAACACACATATATTCTTACTCGTAAAGCCTATTTTGAAACAACTAAGTTGCTCTGTAACAAGTTAAAATCAGTTAAGCTTATGGCAATTGTCCAGTAGTTATTAATAATTAAGGATTATTTAAATAATTAAGTTGGAATATAGTATATATCTATCGAATATGCGGAATTAAAAAGATATATGCTGGTACGTTACCGGCCTTTTTTTCACAACGTCCGGCTGTCTACGGCTTTTGTGTACTAAACGAATACAGCTCTCTAAATATTAAAGGATTTTTTACATCAGTTTTGTACATCCAGATATTACTCCCTACAAACTCACATACATGTCTATGTATAGACTAAATACTTACATTTCACTATTATTGACACCAATATTCGCTCATGGTTTGTTTAAAACTGAATATTAAACATGTTAGAGCCTATATCATGCTTGAATAAACATTATGGGATACGGTACTGAGCGACGCGGTCGTGTCCGCGATTTCATAATAGAAGTTGTTTAAAAATAATGCTTTGTGTCTTAGGTTTGGTTTTAATCAATTAATTGAGGATTTATATATGTATTTATATTAAAAAGGCACACTAACGAAACACATACAAAGAACACACGACATAAAAAAACACAATACATGCGTTTATCAATGACAAGTGTGCATAACATTCAAGGGGGAAAATTACAATAATAAAAGAGAAAATATATTATTTATATTCTTTGCAATTGTTATTGGTGACGGACCAATGGCGGCAACATCTTACGCCTGAAGACATGGAGACCGACACAAAATGGATCAGCCTCGCATGTCCTCAAAGCGTCGTTTACTGCAGATAGAGATCTGTTTAAAAGGCATTATAACCGACGTTGTTCCTCACTGCCCGAACGTGAAAAAAATTAATGATTTTTGTGTGTCTCTTCAAGAAACACATCACAATGTCTATATTGTATTCAACAATTTAGTATACGACTACGATACATATTTGTGCAACTTACCTAATCAAGTGACTAAGAAAATTAATCTGATCATAAATTTTAAATTAATTACAAATAGTATGTCAAGTTTTAGTGTTCATAACTTAAAGGCCGATCACAGCCCTCTAGTGTTACAAGTATCCATGGGCAGCGGTTAGGTTAGGTTACACATTCGCGTCCTATATTTGTTTGATCTGATTGTATTCTCTAAATTAAGATAAAATAAAAATGTAATCACCCGCTCAGCGAATGAACTCGCCTACTAACGTGACAGTTTCCTTAATAAAGGATCGTATGGGTGTTCAATGGTGCATGTACCCGGTGAGGCGGACATGTGTGACCTACTTGTTGGGGTCTGGACTCGTGATAAGATTATATTTATTCACAGGTCACAAGCTTTGAAAGACTCAATCCGACCTCCGGAGATACATAGGTTTCTTTAATAAGCAAATAGTAAAAAATTTGAACATTATTTGTCATTGCTGGCGGTAAATATAAATTTATAAAAAATAATATTTAGATTTTCACTGTGCTTAGGAAGGATGGTGTACTGTTCCTGTAGCCTAAAGGGATAAACCTCAACCAGTCTAACTAAACGCTCTAATAGCTAGGAATACTCCTATTTCCGCGACTAGCGCAGGGGTGTTCTGCGAGACTCAGACCACGGGCCACGGCATGCACCGTCGCGGGGTGGTCAATCGCCTGAAGGGCAGGATGGAAGCTCACTGAAGTGATCAGAGTACGAAGTAAAGGTCCACCTTCCCAAGGCGGTTCTTTACCTCTGATTCCCAGTGACTAAAATCAAGAAGTTGTATATACCCTTAGTCGGAATAACTACGTTATCGCAGTGATTTAAAAGCGCAGATTATGTCGCTACACGTCTAGAGACAAAATGATCATAGAGTTTTTGATTCGTTTTGAGCATACAAGAAATTAAGTATCGGCAAAACTTTTGAAATAATAAGTACAAACGATCCCCCTATATAAATATAATTTATTTACTACGCAAAATCATGATATCTTGAAGGAGGCCGATGTTCCGTATCTTTTAATAACTTTAGCGATTGGCTTTAATATATTTCCCTGCCACATTACTGATCATAAAGCGATTTTACAAAATCTGATGATCTGATGATATGATGAATAGTAAAATTAGGACACAGTACCTATAATTCAATTCTTGGTGCAAATAGTTTAAATCATTTTGTAGTTTTTAATTTTGATTTTTTTAATTACTGTTGTTTGTACTTGATTTCACATGTCGTGTCCTTATGTTGTAGGGACGACTTATATATTTTTGTATGTACGTCAATTTGTTTGTAAAAATAACCTTCTGTCTAAAAGATGTCGTAAATGTTTGGATCTAGATCGTGCCGATTACTTCACGCTTTTCCACCATGCGTTAATGATGCGTGATTCTGAACCGCACAGATCCAGTCTCGCGTTCCAGGTCGTCCAATCGTTGTCGTTGGATAGCATTTCGCGATGCGTGTGACTCAGCAGACATAGGTCATCGGGTAGTTCCAATCTTCTACAATGTAGGTTAATCTCCACTCTCGTGCGACGCCAAATCCCTTCGAGAACAACCAGGAAAAGGAGTGGCGATTAACACAAATCTATTGTACTTATTTCATAACGCATTTCGAACATGTTCCGCCCAAAGCGGAAAAAACAAATCTCAAATTCCGTAATTATGCAACTGAAAATTAAATATTTATTTTTGTATACTTATGTGATGGTAATACGCCCCCATATTACCATATTACGTGATCAGAAAGTTGTTGTGTGATGTGCGAAATGCCAAATTTGAACAACCTACAATCCGGACAAGATTTGTTTGACCAAATGTACATTGTTTGTAGGCATGTTGCGTCATTAAAATAACGTATGTATGTACACGCGTTAGAAGTTACACTTCTTTGGCGTAACAAGATAAAAATCTTTCAAATTTTTTATTCTACGTTTGTAGAAAAAACGACACTAACAATAGAAAAAAGGTATTTAATACATTGAAAGTTTTATTATAACGCATTATCTAGCTAAATAAAGTTTATTTAAATATCACAAAAAAAAAATTCTACATAATTAAAGAATTGGCCGTTCATATTTACTATTTAATTCACGTCCATTGGTTGGAGTTCAGTGGACATGTGAATTACAAGAGGCTTATGATAGCTAAAGTATGATACAAATATTCTTGTAGAAACATTGTCTAAATATCGTACAAATACAGCATTCATAGTTGTATAAAAAATAAATGTTGACTATAGCTACTTCAGGGTGTCGGTTTTTTGTGACGGTGTGCGCGCGCATCGTAAAAATTTACTCTCATCGTTTTTCCCTAACGCGCCAAAAGAAGTATAACTTCAAAAATAACAAGTGTTATAACGTTTCTTGGCCTCGGGTATGCTTTTTTTTTAAAGAACAGGGGGTGGGCAGGAGATTAAGTGATACCGCCGCCCATGGACACTCTCAATGCCAGAGGGCTCGCGAGTGCGTAGCCGAATTTGAATTGGTACGCTCTTTTCATGTTCACTAAGTCGAATTGGATCGGAAATACTTCAGGGGGCAGCTGGTTCCACCGGTTGAAATTCTCAAATCAACAATGTTAACATTTTTAGAATAATACATCCTTTCAAACCGCAAGTTTCTCGTAAAAAAACAAGACATTTAAAGTTATGTCAACAAAAACATTTTCCGATATTTCATTTAGACAGCAAATTTCTCATGTGTTTGACATGAATATTGTATGAGAAATTAATAGTTATGACCTTATTTACGTTAAGAAGTGTTATCTGGTTTATATGCTTTTACTAGCTGACCCCGTAAACATTGTTTAAACTACTATGTTTATACATAGGATAATATATGTATTTTTTAATACCAAATAAAACATACTGTTAGGATACAACTTTTTCTCGAGCTTGCTACGTTGTGTATATTACACACATTTTTTTAGTGTAAACACTGTGACACGGGAATTGTATATTGATAGTAATCATTATTCAGATAAATAACTTCTGTTTTTATCCAACATAGGTAAAATAAAGACTTCTTGATTGATATAGCAACCAGTCCAGGTTATCTCTTCTTAAGATTTTAATTTAAAAAATGGTTATGGTATAAGAGGAAACGCTTATGATAAATAAAAAGTATTTTTTTTTTTCCCATCGATATCAATTTTCCAACATATTTTACGTATACTAAAATTGTTTCATCACAATATAACCCAAGACCTTTCCTGATGTACAATCGATCCACTTGAGCAACGAAGTAGCGTGTAGGTAAATATCATTATAATGTCAACCGTGTAAATTACTGAGCCAATATACGTAAAACTTTCACTCTCAAGGCCATAGGGCGGCTTTCACTTTGAGATGAGTAGGGTGAGTATCTTGGCGAGGTCAAGTGGACGGCCTATTAGGGTTATAGACATTTGATTGACTTTATCTAAAGAAACACAATATAATTAGTTAAATTTTTATAAGAAAGTGTCTAATAAACTAAGAGTATTCATTGAGAAGACGCTTTGTTCTCGTGTATCAATTCTAATATCATGTATGTATTCCTTGAAAAGTTTCCTAAAGGTCAATGCAAATTATAGTACCTACTAGAAATGGAGTTTCA